GACACACAGGACTATACCACACCTGGGACACATAGGACTATACCACACCTGGGACACACAGGGCTATACCACACCTGGGGACACAGGGCTGTACCTCATACATATAGTGAGGCTGACGACAGCCCTGACACTCGTCAGCACTAACTTGTCAGGTGTGAGGCTGACGACAGCCCTGACATTCGTCAGCACTAACTTGTTAGGTGTGAGGCTGACGACAGCCCTGACGCTCGTCAGCACTAACTTGTTAGGTGTGAGGCTGACGACAGCCCTGACAATCGTCAGCACTAACTTGTCAGGTGTGAGTGCTGACGACAGCCCTGACGCTCGTCAGCACTAACTTGTTAGGTGTGAGGCTGACGACAGCCCTGACACTCGTCAGCACTAACTTGTCAGGTGTGAGGCTGACGACAGCCCTGACATTCGTCAGCACTAACTTGTTAGGTATGAGGCTGACGACAGCCCTGACGCTCGTCAGCACTAACTTGTTAGGTGTGAGGCTGACGACAGCCCTGACACTCGTCAGCACTAACTTGTCAGGTGTGAGTGCTGACGACAGCCCTGACGCTCGTCAGCACTAACTTGTTAGGTGTGAGGCTGACGACAACCCTGACACTCGTCAGCACTAACTTGTCAAGTGTGAGGCTGGCGACAGCCCTGACATTCGTCAGCACTAACTTCTTAGGTGTGAGGCTGACGGCAGCCCTGACATTCGTCAGCACTAACTTGTTAGGTGTGAGGCTGACGACAGCCCTGACGCTCGTCAGCACTAACTTGTTAGGTGTGAGGCTGACGACAGCCCTGACACTCGTCAGCACTAACTTGTCAGGTGTGAGTGCTGACGACAGCCCTGACGCTCGTCAGCACTAACTTGTTAGGTGTGAGGCTGACGACAGCCCTGACACTCGTCAGCACTAACTTGTCAGGTGTGAGGCTGACGACAGCCCTGACATTCGTCAGCACTAACTTGTTAGGTATGAGGCTGACGACAGCCCTGACGCTCGTCAGCACTAACTTGTTAGGTGTGAGGCTGACGACAGCCCTGACACTCGTCAGCACTAACTTGTCAGGTGTGAGTGCTGACGACAGCGTTGACGCTCGTCAGCACTAACTTGTTAGGTGTGAGGCTGACGACAACCCTGACACTCGTCAGCACTAACTTGTCAAGTGTGAGGCTGGCGACAGCCCTGACATTCGTCAGCACTAACTTCTTAGGTGTGAGGCTGACGGCAGCTGACACTCGTCAGCACTAATTTCTCAGGTCAACTCACAGAATGTGGGTCTGGCTGTACCTTACTCTGGAAGGGTAAGCCTGCTGCAGAGAGAAACCGCATTTATGGAGTTGGCTTTGTCCTCCGCCAACGCATCTTTCACAGGATGTTTAACTGAAATGCCTGTTGGGTTCAACGAGCGCCTCGTAACGCTTCCTTGTCCCACTGAATCACTCACGTCATGCCTTTTTCATCAGTGCATATGCCCCAACACTGGATGGAGAGGATGACACCAAGGAGGCCTTTTATGCCGCCCTCGACAGAGTGCTAACCTCTATCCTCAGAGAAGACAAGGCTTTGCTCCTTGGTGACTTCAATGCCAGAGTTGGCAGAGATGCTGACATTAGGCAGGGAACCATAGGGAGAAATGGACAAGGCAAATGTAATCCCAACGGCCTACTCCTCCTCAGCAAGTGTGCTGCGCACAACCTCACTATCACCAATACCTTGTTTTTAGGCAGGCCGACAAGTTCAAGGGTTCGTGGCAACACCCACGATCCAAACACTGGCATCTCATTGACTACATCATTGTCTGAGAAAGAGATTGTCGAGATGTCCTCATCACCCGTGTCATGCGTGGCTCAGACCACTGCAACACTGATCATCGGCTCGTCAGAGCCAAACTCTCACTTCATGTCGCCTGAAAACTGCAAAGGCAGCAAGCTTCCACAAGAGGTTTTAATACGAAGCATCTCTAGGATCCAGCGGTAGCACATGCTCTCAGAGAGCAGCTCGAACATGGGCTGATAAACAACCCGACAACAAACAACGCAAATCCCAGTGCTGAATGGGATAGTCTCAACACTGGTATGACAAAGCCCTGCAGAGACCCTCGGCCAGATTGAAAGAATACACCAGGACTGGTTTGATGGAAATGATCCGGCAATCAATGTACTCATTGATGATAAACCTGCTGTTTTTGCTGGCTGGCAGAACAACCCTCAGTCTCAGACCAAAGCTGATACTTTCCGCAAGAAGAAAGAGGCGGCCCAGCGGGAACTTCACAAACTAAAGAATGACTGGCTTAAAAATAAAGCATTTGAAGCACAAAAACTTGCAGATTAGCACAAGATGCACGAATTTTTCAATTCCATTAAAACATTTTATGGGCCAATCACCCGTGGCGCAGCCCCCTCCGCTCATCTGACAGTAACTTCATAATTAAAGACGACGAAGGCCTCCTTCAGCACTGGAAAGGGCACTACCATTCACTGCTCAACCGAAACATCGATGTGGATGTCCTGACTACCCAGCAGGTCTCTCAGCATTTAGAGCTGATCCACCTCAGCTATCCTCTATCCCTGGATGAGGTAGCTACCGCCGTCAAACAGATGAAAAATAACAAAGCCTCAGGACCTGATGGAATCCCAGCCGAGGTGTATAAAGCAGGAGGACCTCTGCTTACCAGCCATCTCCACTCTCTTCTTGATAATATATGGGAAAAGGAGGAAATCCCCCAAGCTCATGAAGGCGCCTCCATTGTCAATATTTATAAGAACAAGGGAGACCGGTCAGACTGTGGCAACTACTGCGGGATCTCGCTACTCTCTGTTGCTGGCCCGAGTCCTCCTAAACAGACTCCTTCCTGAGACGGAAGACTTCCTCCCAGAATCTCAATGTGGCTTAAGACCATCACGTGGCACCACTGACATGATCTTTGCTGCCCGCCAGATAAAGAAAAAGTGTAGAGAACAGCGTCGTGACCTGTGCATGGCTTTCATCGACCTAACCAAGGCCTTCGAATCGGTCAACAGGGAAGCCCTCTGGTGGACCCTCAGCCGTTTTGCCTGCCCACCAAAATTCATCGCCATTGTTTGGCAACTCCACGATGGCATGAACGGCAGTTTCCTGCTCAACGGCACCCAGTCAGAGTTCTTCCCCATCCAAACAGGGGTTAAACAAGGGTGTGTACTGGCACCAACTCTCTCTTCTATTTTCTTGGCTGCCTTCCTTACTCATGCCAGTGCCAATTTAGCCGACGGGGTGAACATCCAGTGCCGGATGAAGGGTCTTTTCAACATAAGATGACTCCGGGCAAGAACAAAGGTGTCGGCAGCTTCCATTACTGAAGTTCAGTATGCAGACGACCTCACCCTTGTGGCTCACACTGAACACGACCTACAGGAGATCCTGAACACCTATGCAGATGTGTATGCACACTTTGGGCTTGAGGTGAATGTACGTAAGAGTCAGATTCTCTTTCAACCTGCCCCTCGTTCAGCCACACCTCCACTTTCCATCCAGCTTAACGGTACTACCCTCTCTAATGTTACCCACTTTCAGTATCTCGGCTCCCACCTGTCCACCACCGTGGACATCGATGAAGAGATTCAACGTCGGATCAGATGTGTATCTCAAGCCTTTGCCAGACTCCGAAACTGTGTCTTCAGCTGTAGGGAGCTGAAATTACCTACAAAGCTCTACGTACATCGAGCAGTAGTCCTCCCCGCCCTGTTTTATGGTAGTGAGACATGGGTCATGTACAGGAGACACTTCAAGGCACTTGAAAACTTTCACGAACGTAGTCTACGTTCCATCTCCCGTGTTCGATGGGAAGACAAGAGAACAAATGACAGTATTCTTGCTGACACCAACTGTAGGACCATCGAGGCTACCATTATCCATGAACAACTACGCTGGACTGGCCATGTTACCCACATGGACGACAGTAGACTGCCAAAGCAGCTACTGTACAGTGACCTACCGAATAGTAAAGGTAACGCTGGCGGTCAATTGAAAAGGTATAAGGGTAGTCTTAAGACAAACCTGAAAAAGAGCCAAATCGACCCCCTCACCTGGGAGACGATTACTCCACACCGTAACGCTTGGAGGAGCACCACACGAGAAGTTGTCAATACTTTCGAGCTAGCCCGACTGCAAACCGAGGCAGACAAGTGCCAACGCCGGAAAGACTCAGCCACCGCCCCTCCCGCACTGGATGTAGCCCTCCACATGTGCAACGAATGTAAACAATGCTGCGGGTCCCGTATCGGCCTCCTTAGTCACCTCAAAACTCACCAACGTAGGTGACATCCTTAATAACTCATATCATTATATCATAGCTGGATGATCGTCATACTCGATTCTGAGTAGTAGTAGTAGTAGGTGTGTGTGTGTGTGTGTGTGTGTGTGTGTGTGTGTGTGTGTGTGTGTGAGACTCACCTTGATACCCGCTGCCCTGAGAGCCTCCAGAGTCTCCTGGACGCCCTCCTGCAGAAGGTCCTCCACCCCGGTAGCTCCCAGCAGTCTCAGCTCAGCTTCCATCCTCTCAGTCACTTCCCTCACCGCTGCCTCTCGCCCCTCCACCACCTGCAGTCACCACAAGGTCATCAGTGGTCATCAGTGTCAAGGTTAGGTTAGATTAGGTTAGGTTAGGTTAGGTTAGGTTAGGTTAGGTTAGGTTCGGAAGCCGCAACACCGTTACCATTTCCCAGCCTAATGGGAAGACACTCTCTCGTCGTTTCTGTTGAACATATCCTCACTGGCCACAGCACCAGCGTCTACCACATTAACCTCACTGGCCACAGCACCAGCGTCTACCACATTATCCTCACTGGCCACAGCACCAGCGTCTACCACATTAACCTCACTGGCCACAGCACCAGCGTCTACCACATTATCACTGGCCACAGCACCACCACATTAACCTCACTGCCACAGCACCAGCGTCTACATTATCCTCACTGGCCACAGCACCAGCGTCTACCACATTAACCTCACTGGCCACACACAGGCCACAGCACCAGCGTCCTACCACATTATCCTCACTGGCCACAACACCAGCATCTACCACATTATCCTCACTGGCCACAACACCAGCATCTACCACATTATCCTCACTGGCCACAACACCAGCATCTACCACATTATCCTCACTGGCCACAACACCAGCGTCTACCACATTATCCTCACTGGCCACAACACCAGCATCTACCACATTATCCTCACTGGCCACAACACCAGCATCTACCACATTATCCTCACTGGCCACAACACCAGCATCTACGACATTATCCTCACTGGCCACAACACCAGCGTCTACCACATTATCCTCACTGGCCACAACACCAGCATCTACCACATTATCCTCACTGGCCTCAACATCAGCGTCCGTGGACTCTTCTATACCAGGAATAAACGGGTTTTAGAAGTGATCGTCGACATACGTGAAGACCAACACCTTCTCCGAAGTCTCTCAACAGCCCACGATTTTGATCTGGGAGCTGGCTGCCGATATTCAATTAGACAATGGTCGCATCTGTATCGACGGCACCTTTTATATGAAGCTCTCACAGTCTGCCGTTCTTGAGTAGACCGGAGATCACCATGGTACGTGTTGTTCCAAGAATGATCTGACAATTCGTGCAATTTCTTTCAGGCCTGCACCATGGAGTGTGGCTGTTAGTATGTCAACAATCACCATAATGGATGGAAGCGCCTCTGTGGCAACCAATATCTTGCTCAAGGTTCTGAACCAGGTCCAGTCAGCCCTGTCCATGCTTCATCTGTACTGAATGACTCCATCATTGGTGCACACTCAGAGCCTGACATGTATCCACCACACCGTGTCTCAGGTGTAGCGGGAGAGTGGATACAATACTCCCCTGCTATCTTAAGGATTCCTGGTTCGAGCCCAGGGAATCCTGGCTAACCTAACTATGCATGGGTACCTTAGTTTACAGTTGGGTTATTGTAGGCGGTCGAGTACAGAACTGAGCCACACTGCCTCTTTATGTACCGAGGAATAAGTATGGAGTGAGGTGTATCGACACTGCCCCAAGTCTATGGGACCTAGTCACTCACCTGGCGTGCTTTAGACAGCTGGCTGGCGAAGACTTGGTAGTGCTTGTAGTCCAGCTCCTTCCTGGCCACCACCAGCGTCCTCAACCCCAGCTGTGGACACGAGAAAAAGAGGCAACAGTGGCGAGGTTTTCACTGTTGTGTTAAGGGGAGCTGGGCGTGGCTCTAGTGGCTCTCAGGATCCCATAGGAATTAAAGGATCACCTGCTGATTAACACCCCAGCTTATCTATCCTGAAAAAGAGCCACCCTAATGCTAAGTCCTTAAACTGCTAGGGGAACATATGAGCACGGGGATCGAGGAGACTGCTGTGGGAGCGGCAAAACAAAGTGAAAGGTTACAGGGAAATAGTGCTAGGAATGATGACAAAACTAAATTAGGGAGGGAGTTAAAACCTAAGCGCGACAAAGAGAGGATTCAGAACATGACTAATTGAAATATCTACTACTCAAACAGGAGAAGTATGAGAAACAAGATGGATGAAATCTGGGCGTTGGTATGTACCGAAAAAATCGATATAATAGCATTCACCGAAACATGGATAAACCTAGACTCACGTGAGTTATCTGTTGAATACCAAATTGCAGGTTACAAATTATTCCATACCGATAGGCAGATTAGGAAAGGAGGCAGAGTAGCAATCTATGTCAGGGATAATCTGAAGTGTGAAATAAGTAAGGAAATAAAAACTGGGCGGAATACAGAAACAATTTTGATAAAATTAATCGATGGTAGGTAAAAATTAATCACAGGAGTAATATATAGACCTCCTAATCTTGATAGAGTTAATGAGTGACTTATTTGGGATGAAATGCACAGGGCTTCCATACATACCAAAGTCTGCATAGTAGGCGACTTTAACTTTAGCCAAATAGATTGGATTGACCTTACGGGTAACTAAGAATCAGATGATTTTCTTGAAACAATCCAGGACTGTTTCCTAAGCCAACATATAACCGAACCCACCCGGGGTAATAATATACTGTACTCGATTTAGTTCTGTCAAACAGAGAAAACCTCATTAGTAATGTCGAGGTAGGGAACGAACTTGCTAACAGCAATCACAAAGAAATAAGATTTCAATTGGAATTTAGTGGGAGTAGCAAGGAAAATTCCATTAAAGTCCCAGATTTTAGAAGGGCAAACTTTGATAGGTTGGAAAGGCAGCTGAGAGAAGGGGTAGTACGCTTGGGGATGGACTACATGACCTCACGTGAGGTGACACAATGTACGCACAAAGGGCTACCTTACTTTACCTGGAGACCTGACAATGATCACCTCACAAAATAAGGCGGTTAACGATGACCTGATCACTAGATCTGTGGTTGACGAGTTCCACAACAATTTAAATAATGAGTTACTTAATGCACAAAGGCAGAACATACCATACAGAAAACTCAAATCAGACAACAATGACCCTAAATGGATAAATAATTATTTAAAGAATAGTATTGGACAAAGGAAGGCTATAGGTATATAAGGTATTGGCCGGTAGGGTTAAGACCGAGATAAGAAAAGCAAAGAGGAATAATGAACTGAAGGTAACAAGTGGGGCGAAGCTTAGCCCCAAGGGTTTCTATCAAATGTATCAAACTAAAACACGAGAAAAGATTGGACCAATACAGTCAGATACCGGCGAGCTAACTGATAACGACGGAGAAATGAGCAATAATCTGAATAAATATTTGTCAACAGTTTTCACGACATTAAATTTAAACATGATACCCGAGGCACCGACTATATACAGAGATAGTGAAGAAAATAGATTAAGCGAGATAGTAGTGACTAGTAACGATGTTAGTAAGCAAATAGACAAACTAAAGCCTAATAAGTCACCAGGTCCCGATGAGATATACAGCCAGAGTATTAAAGGAATGTAAGGAAAAGTTTAGTATGCCTTTAGCAAAGTTGTTTAACATGTCCTTGAAAACGAGTGTAGTACCAGAATCCTGGAGGATAGCGAATGTAATACCGATTTTCAAGAAGGGAGATAGATCACTATCCTCTAACTACCACTCAATCAGTCTAACATCAATAGTAGGCAAATTACTAGAATCAATCATTTCAAACTCTATTCGAAACCACCTGGAGAAGCACAAGTTGATCAATGATTCCCAGCATGGCTTCACAAGCGGACGTTCTTGTCTAACTAATCTATTAATATTCTTTTCATCAGTTTTCGAATCGGTGGACGAGGGGCACAATTATGATGTGGTATATCTCGACTTTAGCAAAGCCTTCGACAGTGTCCCCCACGAAAGACTAATTAGAAAGGTAGAAGTGCATGGCATCAAAGGTAATATGCTTAAATGGATTAGGGCGTGGTTACGGGACAGGAAACAGCGAGTGAGCATAAACGGCACTAAATCGCATTGGAGCAACGTCACTAGTGGAGTTCCCCAAGGCTCAGTACTTGGACCATTATTATTTATTATATACATAAACGACATAGATATCGTCATAGACAGCAACATAAGTAAATTTGTTGATGACACTAAAATAGGACGTGAAATTAAATCTGGTCTGAAAAATAGCAGATGAAATTCAACGTGGACAATTGTAAAGTACTCAGTATAGGAGATGTAAACAGGGAAACCAGATGAACAACGATGCCATAGAGAAATCCGACTGCGAGAGAGATTTAGGAGTAATGATAAGTAGGAACCTTAAGCCAAGTAAACAATGTGTTTTTGCTCGTAACAAGGCTAATAAAGTACTTGGGTTCATACAAAGGAATGTTAGTTACAAGACTAGTGAGGTCATCCTAAAACTGTATCTTGCTCTTGTGAGACCACACCTGGACTACGCAGTTCAGTTCTGGTCACCGTATTATAGAATGGATATAGAATCCTTGGAAAGAATTCCGAGGAGAATGACAAGACTAATCCCGGGCATTAGGAACCTTGAGTATAGAGACAGGTTAAAGCATCTTAATTTGCACTCCCTCGAGAGACGTAGAGTGAGGGGCGATATGATAGAGGTGTTTAAATGGAAATCAGGGCTGAACAAAAGGGACATTACAAAGGTACTCAAACTATCCAACCAGGAGCGAACTCGTAAAAATTTTTTTAAATTAAACAAATTTAGATTTAGGCGCGAAATAGGTAAACATTGGTTTGGAAATAGAGTAGTGGATGAGTGGAACACGTTAACAAACATCATCATTAACTCGAATACGCTGGTTAGCTTCAAACATAGGTTAGATGGATATATGAGCAATAGGGGTTGGGTGTAAATGGGACTGTCCACTATGAGCCAATAGGCCCACTGCAGTTTCCTTCATTCTTTTGTTCTTAACTTAACCTAATGCTAATCTAACCTAACTTAACGCTAACCTAACCTAACTTAACATTTAGCAACACTGGAACAAGCTTAGCAACTTTGTAGTAAGTCCTGGAACGCTGGAAAGTTTCAAAAGGAGGCTAGTTAGATTCATGGATGATAGAGAGTGGTAGTAACTCTCGACAGGAGCTGTCATGCACAGGCCAACCGGCCTATTGCAGACTCCTTCTTTTCTTATGTTCTTATGTTCTAACCTAACCTAACCCCTCAGGCAGCGCTAGGGTGGTTAATGTTAAGGTGAATTAAGGTGGGATGACAAATATTCAGGTGGTCCGACTTTAATTTAGCTGTAGGTACATCGTGTATTATGGGAATGGACAAAATATTTCTAAGATGATGAGAGAGAGAGAGAGAGAGAGATCAGTAGTGTTTGTGTTTGTGTTGTGACTCTCTCTCTCTCTCTCTCTCTCTCTCTCTCTCTCTCTCTCTCTCTCTCTCTCCTACTCACCAGGGCGTAGTCGTCAATGTGAGCGAGGGTTGTGTCGTGGAGAGGCTGTTGGTGGGCAGCGTCAGCACACCTTCTTAACACGCTGCTCTCCGCTCCCTTCGTCAAGAGCCAGATCCTCCCCGACGCCTCCTCCCTCACCACCACTGACATGCACTTACGGTCTGGGGCAAAGGGTCAGAGGTCATGTTAGGTCACTTCAGGTCTCGGGCGCAGGGTCGTAGGTCATGTTAGGTCAGTTCAGGTCTGGGGGTACAGGGTCAGAGGTCATGTTAGGTCACTTCAGGTCTGGGGGTACAGGGTCAGAGGTCATGTTAGGTGACTTCAGGGTCTGGGGGCACAGGGTGAGAAGGCGGTCATGTTAGGTCACTTCGGGGTCTGGGGGCACAGGGTCAGAGGTCATGTTAGGTTCATTTCAGGTCTCGGGGTACAGGGTCAGAGGTCATGTTAGGTCAGTTCACGTCTGAGGGCACAGGGTCAGAGGTCATGTTAGGTCAGTTCAGGTCTGGGGGTACAGGGTCAGAGGTCATGTTAGGTCAGTTCAGGTCTGGCGGTACAGGGTCAGAGGTCATGTTATGTCATTTCAGGTCTGAGGGCACAGGGTCAGAGGTCATGTTAGGTCAGTTCGGGTCTGGGGGTACAGGGTCAGAGGTCATGTTAGGTCATTTCAGGTCTGAGGGCACAGGGTCAGAGGTCATGTTAGGCTACTTCAGGTCTGAGGGTACAGGGTCAGAGGTCATGTTAGGCTACTTCAGGTCTGGGGGTACAGGGTCAGAGGTCATGTTAGGTCAGTTCAGGTCTGGGGGTACATGTTCAGAGGTCATGTTAGGCTACTTCAGGTCTGGGGGCTCAGGTTATATTAGGTCTTGCAGCCTCTGATATACTTCATACAATAGTCTTATCCACCATATCACGTTAATGTGACCTTGCCTGACCTGGATCGAACTGGAGGACCTGGAGCCTCTTGTATGAACGTGTTTGACCTCTCACGTCCAGGGTAATGCTGTTGCTCTTCACTCCACGGAACACAATGCCATACCTGTAGGTGTTGGTCAGGAGACTTTATCTTGGAGGCTTTGGTAACTATAGTTAGCTTGGATCACCTGGCGATTAACCACCCAAATGTTAACCTAGCCTAAATTAACCCACCCAAACCTAACTTAACCTAAACTAACTTAGCGAAACCTAACCCAACCCACTCTAACCTAACCAAACCAAAACAACCCTAACTTATAGTAACTTAACCTAACCCCAGAAAGTTCTTAATTAACACACCTCAGCTCACATACTCACCTGGCACAAGCCTCCACCAGTGCCTTCTCATCTGGGCTGGACGCTTGGTAATCTGGGGTCAAGGTGTGTAAGTGTGTGTCGTTCGTTGACCTTTTCTTCCCACCTTTTGACATTGTTGGTGATGGGACAGCGACCTTGACGGTGTGACACAGTGCCAGGGTCACCAGAAACCTCTCAACCTCATCCTGTGACGGAGGTGAAGGTTAGGTTAGGTTAAGTTAGTTGAGCTGTTTTCGAATCAGTGGACGAAGGACAGGATTATGATGTGGTATATCTCGACTTTAGCAAAGCCTTCGACAGAGTCCCCCACGAAAGACTAATAAGAAAAGTGGAGGCTCATGGCATTGGAGGAGATATTCTAAAATGGATTAGGGCGTGGTTACAGGACAGAAAACAGCGAGTGAGCATTATCGGCACTAAATCCGATTGGAGTAACGTCACTAGTGGAGTACCCCAAGGCTCAGTACTTGGACCATTATTATTTATTATATACATAAACGATATAGATATAGGCGTAGACAGCAACATTAGTAAATTTGCTGTTGACACTAAAATAGGGCGTGTAATTAAATGGCAGATGAAATCTAATGTGGACAAATGTAAAGTACTTAGTCTAGGAGATGTAAATAGAGAAACCAGATATCAGATGAACAACGATGTTATAGATAAATCCGACTGTGAGAAAGACTTCGGAGTAATGATAAGTAGGAATCTTAAACCAAGACAACAATGTGTATTTGCTTGAAACAAGGCTAACAAAGTACTTGGGTTCATACAAAGGAGTGTTAGTTACAAGACTAGCAAGGTCATCCTAAAATTATATCTTGCACTTGTGAGACCTCACTTGGATTACGCATTTCAGTTCTGGTCACCGTATTACAGACTGGATATAGAATCCCTAGAAAAAATTCTGGGGAGAATGACAAGACTAATCCCGGGCATTAGGAACCTTGAGTACAGAGACAGATTAAAGCATCTTAATTTGCACTCCCTCAAGAGACGTAGAGCGAGGGGCGACCTGATAGAGGTGTTTAAATGGAAGTCAGGGCTGAACAAAGGGGACATTACAAAGGTACTCAAACTATCCAACCAGGTGCGAACTCGTAACAATGGTTTTAAATTAGACAAATTTAGATTTAGGCGCGAACTAGGTGAACATTGGTTTGGAAATAGAGTAGTGGATGAGTGGAACAAGTTACCAAACATCATCATTAACTCGAATACGCTGGATAGCTTTAAATATATGTTGGGTGGATATATTAACGATAGGGGTTGGGTGTAAATGGGACTGCCCAGTATGGGTCAATAGGCCCGCTGCAGTTTCCTCCATTCTTATGTTCTTATGAGGTAAGGTGTTAGGTTAGGTTAGGTGAGGTGAGGTGATGTTAGGTGATGTTAGGTTAGGTTAGGTTAGGTTAGGTGAGATTACATTACGTTAGTCTGTTGGTCAATAAATATTGGTACTTTTATAAATGACTTGTGGCAATGTGAACTACCACACCACCACACTAACAAACTACCGCCACACGATAAACTACCACCACGCCATAAACTACCATCACACCACCATACCATAAACTACCACCACGCCATAAACTACCACACTACCACCACCACCACACCACCACACTACCTCACCTCCACACTACCACACCTCCGTACTACTACACCACCACACTACCTCACCACCACACTACCACACCTCCGTACTACTACACCACCACACTACCTCACCTCCACACTACCACACCACCTCACCACCACACTACAACTACTATTTTGCTGTTACTTGGAATTGAGCATGACGATCATCCATCTATACAATGATATGAGTTATTAAGGATGTCACCATCGTTGGCGAGTTCTGGGGTGGCTAAAGAGGCCGATACGGGACCAGCAGGGTCGATCACAGATTTTGCACATGTGGAGGGCTACATCTAGTGCGGGGGAGGGGGGGCGGCGGCGGCAGCGTCGTCTTTCAGCTGTTGGCGCTTGTCTGCCTGTTTATGCAGTCGGGCTAACTCGAATGTGTATTGACACCTTCTCGTGTGGTGCTCCTCCAAGTGTTACGGTGTGGAGTAATCGTCTCCCAGGTGAAGGGGTCGATTTGGCAGTTTTTCAGGTTTGTCTTAAGACTATCCTTATACCTTTTCAGTTGCCCGTTTACTACTCGTTAGGTGACTGTACAGAAGCTGCTTTGGCAGTCTACTGTCGTCCATGCGGGTAACATGGCCAGTCCAACGTAGTTGTTTATGGATAATGGTAGCCTCGATGGTCCTACAGTTGGTGTCAGCGAGAATACTGGCATTTGTAGCGAACTTGGAGGATGGAACGTAGACTACGTTGGTCAAAATATTCAAGTGCCTTGTAGTGCCTCCTATATGTGACCCATGTCTCGCCGCCATATAGCAGGGTGGAGAGGACCACTGATCGATATACGTGTAACTTTGTAGATAATTTCGGCTCCCTACATCTGAAGACACGGTTTCGGAGACTACCACACTATCAAACTACCACACTACTACACCATCAACTACCCTACCACCACCACCACCACCACCACCACCACCACACCACCCACCTTCAGGTCTCGTAGGGGCGTGGTCGTGTTCGTCTCCTCGTCCAGCACGTGTAGGTCTCCTCCAACGTCTGTATACTTAACTCCCTCCACAGAACACTGCCTCAAGTGCATCGTGTTCTCCGTTAGTGTCCCCGTCTTGTCTGTAAACAGGTACTGCACCTACAGGAGGAAGAGGGTGTAGGGGTCTCAGACGATGAACTAGGGCAGCCAGGTGCTGTACATAAGAAAACATAAGGTATAATTCACCCAGACACGCGTCCCTATAGAGTGAAGATCTTGTGTATTGGTCTTGGTGTTGTGAGAAAGTTCCAGAAGTGTTCCATAAATGTTCTAGAGGTGTTCCAGAAGTGTTCATAAGTGTTCTAGAAGTGTTCCAGAAGTGTTCTAGAAGTGTTGCAGAAGTTTTTCAGTTTTAAGGCGTTTATTGTAAGGCGTCTTAGATCCACGGAATAGCTAATGCGTTAGCTATTCTGTCTGTGCAGACACTTCTGCTGAGTACTGCGTATGACACCTTCAGAGGCATTAGCGTGTGCACCGGGCAGAGGCGCCCGAATAGCTAACAACCAATCAGCGAGTTCCAGCTAAAACAGTGGGTATACACGCGGATCATGGCCGCTTATGGAGAATATTTTGATTAATATTGAAGAGTTGGGGGCATGTAAGGCACTAAAAAACTGTAATAAAAATAAATCTTTATACGGTAGTATATTGGATAGGACCTAAAACAAAGCATATGGTATGAAGGAATTGAAAAGGATTGCGCCCAGTTGAGGCCTGTTTTGGCTCCGCCCGCTTTTAAGTGGGAGCTGTCCCATTTCATTAGTCCTTGGTGACTTTGGTGTAACAATATTGATAATTGCTCAAATATGATTAAAACTTCAATATCAATACTCATAAGATACTTTATATAAGGGTGAACAAGTTGATTACAGTTCTGTAAGTGCAAAAATTAAGACTTAAACGAACCTGAAATTCGTCGTATTTCCTGTCAAAATATACGATCACACAGCCGCGAGAGAAGCGTACAGCTGCTCTAGTCGTTTCTTGTTAGTCTACTAGCCGGTCCTATAATTCATCAGTGAACCTAGAGATCTCGAGTACTATAAGGTTTTATGCTGGAAATGTAATGTACTGGTCGTGAGGACTCAGAAACTGCCGGATGCTAATTTGCATACATTGAGCATTTTGCATAATTGACCTAATTAGCATATTAATTAGGCCAAATCAATAAATCAGAATATCTTCCTTTGTAAGCCACCTAGAGAATTCGTATTGGTGTCTAGATCCTTGTTTTGACCCAAGGAATCTATCTAACACAGTTCCATGATCACACCAAGCTTCCGACTGCCTCAAACTCGATAATGACGCCGTGCATATCGAGGTATATCGTAAAATCGCCATAACTCAACAACCGGTGGGGATAGAGACTTCGTTTTGATGTCTAGACCTACAGTATGTGTTCGACTCGAAAGGTTCCATCTGTTACATTTAGAAACCACCATCACTCTTCTGAACACGTGAAAATTCAATGTGGCCGCTGCTCATAATCAACCAAGTCGTAAAGTCGTCATAACTCAGCTATTAATCTATTACGTATCACTAATTTACGCCTTCCTCTTCGTCTTCATAGTCGCGATTATTCTCTCCATTCTCCTGATCCTCTTCTCCTTCCTGTTCACCTCCTCCTTCATCCTCCTCTCGTTGTGTCACTCGTCTTCTCCTTCACAGACACAGTAGCTGGAACACAACAACACATTTGCCGCACAACAACACTTCCCACCGCACGCCTTCACCTCCGCTCCCCAGCAGCAGCTAATGACGTCCGTGATCCTTCCTGGTGCGATGGGTTCTTTGGACAGAACTGGCATCACGTGGCCATTTTCACGAACTTCCCATCCGCAGTCTGTGATATGGACGGCAGGAAGGTTAGCCTTGTCTGCAGCCTTCCACAGCATCATTTGGAGATGTGCTCTCTGGATATGGAGGCCCAGGTTCCTATCTGTTGGTGGGAAAGACTTTAGAGCAGCATTCATTGAAGCGCTCTTCTTCTGGCCATATAGAGCTAGGAAGAAGGTGGTGCCAGTTGCCATCAGGTCGCTCTGAGTGGCATCATTTTCTCCCAGAACTGAGTCGAGTCCAATGATGACGGTCTGGGTGGTGAGCACACCTTACCTTTCCCATTAGGGTAGGACACAGTGTCACATCCTGAGAGCGCATGCATTTCCCACCCAACTTGGCGACAACGGCATTGATGTTGAACACCGACCCATTCCAATTTTCCCTCTGAACACAGCATGAGACGCCAGCTTCCCAGTACTCAAGCAACACGAACACATCTGTGTCGTCACTAAGGATGCGCACTGTCCGATCTCCAGCCGACGCAGCGCTGCAGCATGTAGCCAATGAGAGATACGTCAGCTTCACCACGCCGCACAACACTGTCAGCTCGACTCACAAGTTCAATGTTGCTTCCAAATCATGTATGCAGAGTAGTTCTGAGAGCTGATGCTTGTTGTCCTTGTTCTTCATGATGGCATCACGACCAGCGAGAGGTGAGTTGAGAGACGCTGATATGCAGTCGATCCCTCACCAGCTCTCTTATGTCACTCATGGTCCTTTGCATTGACATACGTCTTTGCTCCTCTGTAGTTGGAGAGACGATTCCTTATTCCGCTAGCAACCCAAGGATGGCCAGACAATGTGGTAAAGCAGCTGAGAGGCGTCCACCAGCAGTGTGTCGGGAGGAGGAGGAGGATTCTTTATGACAACACCCAGACGCTTGACCAGCACAAACTTGTTACCCTTTTGGAGGCAGCCATACTCATCGATGATTGACGGAGGCACAGGGCACAGCTCATCCTGGAAGAGAGCTGACAATTGGAAGTTTCGTTTCTGTCCATCGACCAGGAGACGGGCGAATATCGCTTCCGGATCATACACTGTTTTGTCTTTCACTTTCACACCCCGCTTCAGTACCTGCATGGTCTTCACCATTTTGATCGGACTGTGGAAGCCATCAGGGAGAGAGGCAGCGAAAGCGTTCTGCATTTTCTGACCGATCTCAACCACCGCCTGTACGTTGACTTCTTTTGCAGATGCCACATGTCCATTGACGATGTTATACAGGGATGTGGAATGGTCAGTGAGTGGATGAGAATGCCTCCTGAGTTCATCCAGGATCTTCAGGCGGCCCTCTCTGTCCAACTGCCGTCTCTTTTCATCTTCTTCTTTGTGTTTAGCAGGTGCAGAAGCAGGTTTTCCGCCAGGGCTGCACATTTCAGCCATGGCCATGGAAAGGTGTGAGCAGACACCGAGCGACTCAATCCAGACAACGACTTGTTCAGGGTTGACAGAGATACCTTTTATGCCCCCAGCTTGCTTGTCTTGCTTGATATACGTCTGCTCGCCGTACACAGCGGTAGCTCCTTCAGAGTGGCGACAAACAAGTCCTCCATCGAGATCTTTCATGTCATCCTGCGGTAGGTGCTGCATTTCCCGCAGGTGCCAGCTGATGTACCGTGCATAATGATGATGCCCAGCCGCAAAGAAATACGGAAGCATCCACTGCAGGCAGTGCTGCTGTAGTAACCAGTCACCCTCTCGCTCGGCCCTCAGGAAATCGTGTGCAAGTATGGTTGGTGTGATAAAGCAGTCGACCCAAAGTTTGCCTGTGGGATGCTCGCTTGCCTTCTCGAGATGTGCAACGATATCTTCATGACTTTTCTCTCTCTCCCTCAAGAAATCACGAAGAAGTGCAGCGACGACCATGCGAAAGGGTCGCATTACCTTTGGCTACGCCTTCCCATTGAAGATGTTGGCTATACCACCGTACTCAGCACCGACGAGCTCCTCAACAATAGTACCTTTCATGTTGTATCCGATGGTGCCAATGAAAGACATCAAGGTGTGCATCATTCCTGGTCTCAGAACCACACTTTTCCATTTTACAGGATCGCTCCACTTGATGAGACAGGCAATGATGTAGAGCTGCATGTCCAACGTCAGGTGGACAAAGAGCACGCCAAAACTCTTGAGCGTCCGATCAAGGTAAGGTAGGCCATGTAGTCAAGACAGTGTCAGGGTGAGATGGAGGGGAGTCAATGAGAGGACCGACGACGCAGAGTGTCTTGGGCTTGTGCAAACCAAGCTGAGCCCGATCCTTCAGAGCATGAAACCCAGACCATTCTACTGGTTTCTCTGAGTGAAGCTGGGAGAAATAAGCTGCAAAATTGTGCTGAGCGTTGGACCAGCTGACTGAAAGTAATTGACTGTCAGTCTGAGACTGGGGAACCTCTGGGAGAGCTGGTGGATTCAACTTCTTTAGTCCGGTGAAATGCTCAATCTGAATTGATCTTTGAGTTAGGCGTAATTTGGCTGCTTCCGTCTTCTTCAGACGGGGGATCTTCAAGCACACCACACCAGGTGTAGTACTGCCGGGGCTTATGATGCTCGCCGGATGCTGCGTGAACTCTGTTGCCATAGTGTGAGTGGTGCGACGCTCATTTGGAGTGAAGACAACCAAGTCAAAGTTGTCACACCAACTGAATATTGGACCAATGCATCGACCAAGACCCAGAGCTCTGTGGTACACGGCATTATTTTGAGATACATACGTAGCAGCTGACTTACGGAATTGTTAAACCTCATCATGTGAAGCAACACTGCCATGATCGTTTGCTGTGCTGACGAGACTAGATACAAGTCTAAGGAGAGTTGCACTTGTGTCTTGAGTCATTTTCTCATACCGAAAGATATTCAAGTCGTAATCCCGAGGCAAGGGAATGTTTCTGACCAAGCGGTCAACATCATCATCACCTGGATCAAGGGACTGCTTCACCAGTCTCAGAGATTAACCAACAAGTTTTCGAAACCCAACAATAGAAGAACAGTCTTCTAAATGCAAAACAACTATTTCTTCACCAAAATATTCAGTCAAGTTTACAAGCATCTGCTTTCTCGTTAGATGACCACTATTTTCAATGCAAACATGATACAGTTCAGGTACAGTCCAAGGCACCAAGATGGGACCACTCTGCTTCCTTATGCTCATCAATGATGCCCTAAGAGAAACCCCTGCTCGCTGGAAATATGTCGACGACTCCACCATTGGGATCAGCGTCAACAATTCTGCTCCCGACTATACCGCCCTTCAGGATTTATTGAACAGTCTCCAAAACTGGGCCACCAACAACCATGTCACCATCAACCATACCAATGCACATCAACCTCTCCTCCGACATTGTCCCACCTCCTTCCATTACTCTAGGTCCGAACACACTCCAGGTTGTAGATTCCAATAAGCTCCTCGGCGTCACCATAGACAACAAACTAAATTGGAAACCACACGTCAGTGAAGATGTCAAATCCTCCAGTTTCCGTCTCCACCTCCTCCGCCGACTCAAGTCCCTCGGAGTTCCTGCACACGAGCTCCTCAGTGTTTACACAACATTCATACTTCCCAAGCTCACCTATGCCTCCCCCACCTGGTCTTCCTCCCTAAATGCCACACAACGTAAACACCTAGAAAAAGTGCAAAAGAGGGCATGCAAGATTATTCTCTCCCCTTCCTACTCCACATATCAAGAAGCGCTCAACACACTGATCCTTTCGACTCTCACTGACCATCACCACGACCTCATCTGCAAATTTGGCAAGAAGCTTCTACACCATCCTCGACACCGGCTCCTACTACCACCTGAGATCCCTAGTCCGAGAATTGCTGTTCGACACCACAACCGCATCCAGCCCATACGTGCACGAACTGATCGCTATAAGAACAGCCCAGTCCCAACCATTGTAAAAATTATCAATAACTTGTAATAAACCAGTGTATTCACTCCCAGTAAACACTACTCCTTGCACTGTCACTATGTTGAAATGAACTGTAGTTTGAGCTTTTCCCCATCTAGTTATTATATATCTTATTTGTGTCACTTATGTTACTTGTATATTATTTGTAATTCGTAACCCATTCCCCAAATATGTAACTGTATATTTTCAGCCTTCTGGCTGCCAAGCTCTTTCAATAAACCGTTAATTATTATTATTATTATTATTATTATTATTATTATTATTATTATGATTGATCACAAATTTCAAAGCTTCACTAACACATGGTTTAGAAGATTCAGACTCGGTGGAGTCAATGGGTACCTTTCTGAATTTATTGTAACAGTGAGTGTGATACTGAGCATCTGCTGCCGGTAGGTCGATTGGGGCACCTTTGACTCTAGCCTCAATAATTCTGGACCACTCATCTTCGTATGTATCACATATGTCAAGTATCACTTGCTTAAAAGTAGGCTGGCCAGGTCTTTTACCGTCTCACACTGATTGACAGGTAACCATCTTCGGGGATTTTTTGGATCTCTTGGCACACAGATCTTGCCACAAAACAGACAATCTCTTTTTCATACAAATTCACACACTTTTGAACGACTAACTCTTTCAGGAGGTTCATCACCATGTGGCAAACCACAAAATTTTCTTTTCCTGCTGCCTGATACGTTCCTTGACACTGAGGTGTATGAGCTATAACATAACTTGTGACATAACACTGCAGCGTTATCACCGTCTGATGCAAGCGTAGACTCAAGTTGTACATGGATTGCATCGTCACGCTCTTGACTCCAGCAGATGAGCGTCCCTATTCCCTTAACCCCGCATTTCTTCCATTGCGTCCTTTTTCCGAAACAGGGCGCGAAGAGGCACTGGCGATGAGCCATTATCTACGATCTGAACCAAAAAAGGGTAAATGACGCTTGTAGGACTACTTAGACACAACAAGAGTACCATAATGAAAACAATGCTGCTATAGTCAACATAACAAGGGCTCTTTTTATTTTTTGAATATGCAAGGTGGCCATATTGGATTTCATGCGGTTTGAAGCATGGTATGTGCTTGTAGCTATGTTAGATAGATTCCTTAGGGTCGAAAACATGGGTCCAGACACCAAAAATAATTCTCTAGGTGGATTACTCAGGAAGATATTCTTGATTTAGTGATTTGGTCTAATTAATATGCTAATTAGGTCAATTATGCAAAATGCTCAATATATGCAAATTAGCATCCGGCAGTTTCTGAGTCCTCACGACCAGTACATTACATTTCCAGCATAAAACCTTATAGTACTCGAGATCTCTAGGTTTACCTCCTTGGCTAGCAGACTATGTGGTTTCAGAGTCCGGGAGAATTAACCTTTACAACGGGCCTGATTGTTTGTGTTATTCTTATTTATTGTTGACTGACTGACATTTTTCCTTTTTTGTCTTTCTTTCCATAATTTTATATATATTTTCTTCGCTATTTCTTTCCGTATTGTGTCCAAATAACAGTTCTCCTAATTTCATTGTTTTCTGAAGACTGTCTTATACAACAGTTACTCCCAAGACGCGGTACAATGTCGTATTTTTAATGGCAGTCCGGGAAAGCTAACGCGTTAGCTATTCCGTGCATCTAAAACGCCTTACAATAAACGCCTTAAGTGTTCCTAACCTCTCCACCACCTCCCAACACCCCCACCTATCCCACCCCAACACACCCCCTCCTCAGTACACCTCTACCACCTCACTACGCCTCCCCAACCCTCCCCACCCTCCTCCTAACCTCCCCACCCTCCTCCTAACCTCCCCCAACCTCCCAACCCCCACCACCTCCCCTACCCCCTCCCAAACCTCCACTACATACCTGCCCCAGTTCTTCATTAACGTCTGAGGTGTTGACACGAACCCCCTCCAACTCCCCTGGGCCACTCAATTCGTCGTCCCACTTCAGGAAACTCGTGCCCCAAAACTTCTGTATCTCTGTGGGGGCGATGCCGTAGTGAGACTCTTCAAGATAATGTGTGGTTAGGTTAGGTTTGGTTAGGTTAAGGGCCGGGTTGATAAATCCCACATGTGAGAGGTATTCACTCCTCGCCATTGCAAAATACGCGGGGTCTTGACGGACATAAACAAGATGAAATATTAATAAAAAACTAATCTAAGAAGTTAACAAACTTCCGGTACTCTATAGGCCTCCCTCTTCTCTTGATACACTCCTGCAGGCGTGAAGGAACTGACTGCCAAGTTGGGGATTATTTGTGGGTGTTTATTATTTCACCCCTCACGAATGGCTGCCTCCAGCTTGGGGACGGTACTTGTGTCCTTGCCTTGTAGACGGGATAAGTTCAGACAAATTGCTTGGCCAATCACTCATGAAGTCTACCTGACAGTCAACAAGCCATTGTATTACTGATTTTGCTGTATGACATGGGGTAGTATTGCTGGGGCTCAAGGCACAGCCAGACATGAGGGATGGAGAAGTCACCACATATAGTCGTGGGGGGAAAGGTTGGAAAAGAAGTTTAATGAGTTAAACAGAGGGGGACGACACCCCTTGTTTTACATATTACAGAGTTTGTTGGCTAACTAAGCTAACCTAGGATTTAGGATGAGGTTGCACAATGGTTACTTTGGTAGACAATGACTAGATTGATTTTACAATTTCAAGTTTATTAAAATCTTATACTGTATTACGTTATGGACTCACTTGATTGTGACTTGTTAAATGTGAATTTATATCATGTAAGTTTTAATCTAAGGTGGATCACTGTGGCGGACATAGATGGGTCGCGGGTTGGGTTGTTGTAGTGCGGGCAGACTCCGGGGCCACCAGGCGTGGGGTCTCCCTCCGTTGATGTCTTCCCCGCGTAGGTGGTCTGGGCTGTGAGGGTCGTCCAGGAGCTTGTCCCAAACCTTCTTCCCTAGGCGATGGAACCTGAAGTTGAGGGCCTCTGTTTTATTTCTTAAGTGGATGGTTTCCACTGTCTCCTGGTAGGGTGGCGCTTGGCTACTGGCTGACCTCAAACACTTGTTTTGGAAGCTCTCTAGTTGTTGTAGTCTGGTCTTCCCGAGTGTGACGAGTGGTATAGATGGGTACTCCAACACAGGCCTCACCAGCGCCTTGTATAGGTGAACTTGTATCTTCTCAGGCATCAGTTTAAAACGTTTTAATTTGGCTGCGGCGACTTTGGCTTTATTTAGTCTGTCCTTCACGTGAGGAATGATGCCCGTCCGAGAGATGATGAGGCCGAGCAACCTGCCTTGTTTAGAGTACTCAATCTCTTCGTCGTCGATCATCAATGGCGCCGGCTTGAATTTGGCAATGGGTATGATCTGGAATTTCGTTTTGTTTTTTTATTTTCCATTTATTTTCGTACTCCGAGATCTCCTCTATTGCCCGAGCAGTGAGTCGCGCCATCCTTGCCGTGGACCTTCCTGGGCAGGTGACGATCTGTGTTGCATCGTCGGCATACATGACGTACTCGCTGCCGACGATTGGGGGTGGCAGGTCAGCCGTGTAGAGTGTGTAAAGGGTTGGTGAGAGACAAGAGCCCTGAGGCACGCCGCTCTAGAGTGAGAATTCTTCTCCACAATGTTCTTGCATCTTGATTTTGGCTCTGTGGACCGTGATGAAGTTGCACAGCAGGCGCGTCAATTTTTCGGGTAGCCCCAGTTGTATGATCTTATACTGCAGCCTCGCGTGCCAAACTTTGTCAAACGCCTTACTGACGTCCCTCAGTACTACGTTGCACTGCAGGCGGCCAGTCATGGCGTTGGCGGAGTACTTGGGGTCAAGGGAATCACTCCCAGGGGCGCCTGTACACATTAAAAGTACGACTTCCAGTAGAAGAAAACGTTGCCTCGTCACTCCACAGCACTTGCTGCCACTTGGTCGTATCCTTCTGAGCATTAGCCTTGGCAAAAGCGACCCTACGCTGCCTGTGGACAAGGGTGAGGAGTGGCTTCTTGCATGCACGGTGGCTGCGAAACTGCAGTACTGTTTTTTTTCTTTCAATTACCATGTTGACAGACGTGGATTAGCATCAAGTTGCCTCTAAAGAACAGTTAACGTGCGTTGGGAAGTTTTTCGAGCCTTCCCTGGCCGTCCCCTGTGCACCAGTATTGCCAACCCGCCGTCATCTCGAAATCGTGTAATCCAAATCTGAACTGATCGTTCGCTCACACCAACAATTCTTGATGTTTCCTTTACAGGTTTCTTGCCCTTATGCAGACTAATAATTAACGCTATCTGCTCGTTTGTTAAATCTTTCCCTCGCCCATTGTGGTAAAAAAAGCAAAGAAACAAGGGACGTTGTGGCAATAAATAAGGGCAATGTCGGGGGCGGGGGTTAAACTCATAAATCTTTGTTCACAAAATTTACGGGCAACTGGTGAACGTTTTGATTGCTGGCTGACTTGTCCTCGTCTCCCTTCGCTGCCAGACTTACAATGCCTGCCTCAGCCCCAGCTGGCTGGCGTGGAGGAGTGTGAGACACTTCAGCAAAGATCATTTCCCGTCGGCCACCTCCCGCATAATGCAATGGCGGTGTGTTAGAGGGATAGTGTGGATAAAGGGGGTGTGTTAGAGGGATAGTGTGGATAAAGGAGGTGTGTTAGAGGGATAGTGTGGATAAAGGAGGTGTGTTAGAGGGATAGTGTGGATAAAGGAGGTGTGTTAGAGGGATAGTGTGGATAAAGGAGTGGATAAAGGCAGTGGGTAGTGTGGATAAAGAAGGTGTGTTAGAGGGATAGTGTGGATAAAGGAGGTGTGTTAGAGGGATAGTGTGGATAAAGAAGGTGTGTTAGAGGGATAGTGTGGATAAAGGAGGTGTGTTAGAGGGATAGTGTGGGAAGGAGGTGTGTTAGAGGGATAGTGTGGATAAAGGAGGTGTGTTAGAGGGATAGTGTGGATAAAGGAGGTGTGTTAGAGGGATAGTGTGGATAAAGGAGGTGTGTTAGAGGGATAGTGTGTGGGATAAAGGAGGTAGAGGATAGTGGATAAAGAAGGTGTTAGGGGATAGTGTGGATAAAGGAGGTGTTAGGAGATAGTGGATAAAGGAGGTGTGTTAGGAGGGATAGTGTGGATAAAGGCAGGGTAAGAGGACAGTGTGGATAAAGGGGTGTGTTAGAGGATAGTGTGGATAAAGGAGGTGTGTTGGGATAGTGTGGATAAAGGCAGTGGGGTAAGAGGGATAGTGGATAAAGGAGGTGTGTGTTAGAGGACAGTGTGGATAAAGGAGGTGTGGGGTTAGGAGGGATAGTGTGGATAAAGAAGGTGTGTTAGAGGGATAGTGGATAAAGGAGGTAAAAGAGGGATAGGTGTGATAAAGAAGGTGTAAGCAGAGGATAGTGTGGATAAAGGAGGTGTGTTAGAGGGATAGTGTGGATAAATAGAAGTGTAAGTAGGGGAGGATAGTGTGGATAAAGCAGGTGTGTTAGGAGGATAGTGTGGATAAAGGAGGTGTGTTAGAGGGATAGTGGATAAAGGAGGTGTATTAGAGGGATAGTGGATAAAGGCAGGGTAAGAGGGATAGTGTGGATAAAGGGGGTGTGTTAGGAGTGGATAGTGGATAAAGGAGGTGTGTTAGAGGGATAGTGTGGATAAAGGTGGTAAGAGGATAGTGTGGATAAAGGAGGTGTTAGAGGGATAGTGTGTGGATAAAGGAGGTGTGTGTTGAGGATAGTGTGGATAAAGGGGCGTATTAGGGGGATAGTGTGGATAAAGGAGATGTGTTAGAGGGATAGTGTGGATAAAGGAGGTGTGTTAGAGGGATAGTGGATAAAGGAGGTGTGTTAGAGGGGATAAAGAAGGTGTGTTAGGAGGGATAGTGGGGATAAAGGAGGTGTAAGTTAGAGGGATAGTGTGGATAAAGAAGGTGTGTTACAGGGATAGTGTGGATAAAGGAGGTGTGTTAGAGGGATAGTGGATAAAGGAGGTGTTAGAGGGATAGTGTGGATAAAGGAGGTGTGTTAGAGGGATAGTGTGGATAAAGGAGGTGTGTTAGAGGGATAGTGTGGATAAAGGAGGTGTGTTAGAGGGATAGTGTGGATAAAGGAGGTGTGTTAGAGGGATAGTGTGGATAAAGAAGGTGTGTTAGAGGGATAGTGTGGATAAAGGAGGTGTGTTAGAGGGATAGTGTGGATAAAGAAGGTGTGTTAGAGGGATAGTGTGGATAAAGGAGGTGTGTTAGAGGGATAGTGTGGATAAAGGAGGTGTGTTAGAGGGATAGTGTGGATAAAGAAGGTGTGTTAGAGGGATAGTGTGGATAAAGGAGGTGTGTTAGAGGGATAGTGTGGATAAAGAAGGTGTGTTAGAGGGATAGTGTGGATAAAGGAGGTGTGTTAGAGGGATAGTGTGGATAAAGAAGGTGTGTTAGAGGGATAGTGTGGATAAAGGAGGTGTGTTAGAGGGATAGTGTGGATAAAGGAGGTGTGTTAGAGGGATAGTGTGGATAAAGGAGGTGTGTTAGAGGGATAGTGTGGATAAAGGAGGTGTGTTAGAGGGATAGTGTGGATAAAGGCAGTGGGTAAGAGGATGAAGAGCAGCTGGGATAAAGTTTGGATTATTTTTTTTTTTAACGACTAGGAAAGCAAAGTTATCATTGTTTAAAGTATATATCTTACAACTAGAATTAAACAACACAAATACAGTGTTAGGACAGGCCAGGAATCCAATGCTCTGTTTGTTCATTTGAGGGATAACAAGCATTGTATTGACTGGGATAATGCCTCCTCAATATTACCTTGTATTTCAATTGATAGTAGGAACATCATAGAATCTAGTCTTATTAAACATACCGAAGCAGTCAACATGAATTTGAGTAATGGCATGTACAAACTGGACAATTTTGTAATTAAGAAGATTTGTAACCAGGTGAGAAGGTTGGGTCACCTTACCCTCTGACCTGACCACCAACCGTTGTGTGCTATTTAAAGATTAGTAGGGTCATTACTTAATACCTGACCAATATGGACCTGGT